TCCCATCCTTCCCCCAGATGCAATCCCACAATCTGCTTTCAGTCAAACAACAAAAACTGAGATTGAATTTGCACAATCATTCCTTTACTTAGTCTGGATTGTGTCCTGAAAGTCAAAATAGGGAGACATGCAACATACTCAGTCAAACATAGTAATGAATACAAGTAGGGGTTATACTGGGTTTATAGAAAGGAAGCAATGTTTACCTTTCAATTCCCTGCCCCCATAACTCCTCCTGAGTTCCGTCAGAGCTCCCGCAATCGGTGGGCTGACTCCCCACAGAGTCTTGCTGCGGTCCTACGGGTTGCAATCCCGACTGTCGCTTTCCTCTCAGAACCAGGATTAGACTGATAGCAAGAAGGCCAGAAGATAAGGAGTTTCAGACTCTCGAGATACAAGGAAGGGACTGACGCAACTCTCAGGAGAGGGCCTTGTAACCTTCGTGCGTCTGAAGGCCCCGCAATGATGGCCAAAATGTGCAGCAGCCCGGTCAACCAAAAGTCAAACCGCCAACTGTCAACTCTCCAATTCGCAGCGACAGTCCATTACTACTGCCACTACTCCGCCTAGACCACCACCACTAACAGAATCAAGAATAAACTCTCAATCTATCAATCCTTTCTGCAACCAAGTCACTAACACACTGTGGACTCAAACTCCGCAGTTTAGTGTCCGCGAATGCACCTTGGTCAGGTAAGTCCCCTAATCTTACACTGCTGCTCTTCCTTTCCTCTTTACTGCTTTCTCTAGCCACTTTCTTCAATGTCACGTCAACAATCTTATCAGTTTTTATCTGAGCTTGAGCTTTACTGATGTTATTTCTAATACACCTAGTTAGTACCGTGGTCGAGCTCATGCACTCCCCATCTTGTTCTTTCTCGCTTCTCTTTAATCTTCTTTTCCATGCTCACGTTCCTCTCTTTCTCCCCTCAGTCTCTTTTCATCTATCTTTCCCCAACTTCATCACTCCTCCCCGTTTCTTTGTCCTACGTTTTCTTGCACTTTCTTCCCATTTTTGCCTGATGCGCGTATCTCGGTCTTCCAATCGGGTATATGCCTCTTACTGAAATGGCGGCCGATCACTGGAAAGGCGAAGGTGACCACTTTGACGAGCACCGACACCTGTAGGATGATCTTGGCAAACCGCGCCTGATGCATCATTTACCCAATGTGCGAAATGAGAATGAATCTCTCGCTAAAGACTGACCAGATGCATCAACACTTACCACGCCCCTCTTACGCTCAGCCAACATGGTGAACTCTTCTCTCTCTCTTTCTCGGGCGATCTCTACTGGGATCGCGTTCTGACCCAAGCGCAAACTAACTGTATCTGAAGACGGTAGTCGTGGTCCTGACAAGGTAAGCAGCCACCGCCGCTTGAACCTCTCCTCTCTTCTCTCTCTGGTACCGCATACCTCGCAAGCTCGTGCTCTTAGTGGACGTTCAAAATGAAATTGAATCCTCCGCTAGAACGTGGGCGGGTACACTCACTCGAGTTGGCTGCTTGCAGCGCCTATCGATTGCGGCCATGCGCCGATCAGGTAAGTATCGTCCTCCTCCCTCTTTGTGAATCTCAGCATGCGCCTTCAACACCGCTCACCACCTAGTGCATTTGGCTGATACTTCGACCAAATTCATACACTCCTTTGAGAGCCTACGTGGGGAAAACAACGTCAAGGATTGGTGGCTGCATCACGACGGCCACGGATACCATGGCCGAGACGAATAATCGTGATCTCAAGAGAAAGCATCATGATGAGACGCCGGACCGACAACACCACGATGATGACGAAGGAACCACCATCCTGCGTAGGTCCGCTACGACTACTATTATGACGTGCACCTGAAGATGTACCGCATGACATAGGTGGCCACCATAACAAGACTGCGACCATGAAGAACGACCGTGACGAAGAGCACGATTGGCAGCAACCCGAGCTCGTCATGCGCCTTGTAAAATGTGCATAATGAGAATGAATCTTCCCTTAGAATCGGGGTCGGTGAATGGCCATAGCATAGTCACGCAGCATCTATCGCTTCGATCCGAACAACCGGCTGCTCAGATCGCAATTCTGACACGGTCAATCAGTTGAGGATGATCCCAAACCCCCATTTAGCATCCTCGTTTGCCAAAAACGACCGAAAAACGGTCGAGTTAGCCAATTTTCACGCCCGTTCGCTCTCTTTCTCCCTCCTCCGACATCCCCGCGCAGTGCAAATCTTATCTAACTCTCATTCTACTAATCCTACAACAAAACTAACCCCGCCGTTCACATCGCCCTATCCCAAAATGTTGGAAACGAGCCTTCATTCGCCCGTCTCCATCAAGGAACGGGTGTGAAACCACTTCTTTCCCGTTGCCATGCCCATTCCTTTCATCCCTGCCATCTCTCCGCGCACTCTATTTCTCTTCTGTCTCCCTATCTATGAACTCTCCTGTAGAACTAACTTCATAACGGGGTTCGCTTGCCCCCAAAACCTCCAAAATGCATCTTCTTCTGCCCGATTCCACCCACAAGCGAGCGAGAAATACTCGTTTCCTCTTCGTTCTTCTTCCTTCCTTCATATCTCGACGTGCTAGCCTTTTTACTAACTCTCGTTCTAGCATTGTTCTCCCTATTCTGACTTCACAAACTGATTCGCCCACCCCTAATATGGCAGAAACGCCCCTTTCCCTGCCTGATTTCATTCACGATTGGCTATGTTATACACTCACCCCCTTCTTTCTCCTTGTTTCCCCCATAGCTCCATGCAACCGCTTTCTTCTCTACCTCTTTTCTTACTAACGTACTACCAAAACTAGGTTGACCAGCGCACTCGCCCGACGCTAAAACCCCAATATAGTATTTTCCCACGCTCGATCCTGATCAAAATTGAGCAAGCCATACTTTACTGGCTGCGCCCAAGCTTACTCCCTGCCATTTTCACTACCGGATGCACCCAGCGCAATATCGCGCTCGGGTTCATTCGTCCCTCGCAGCGTTCATGCTTCACTCTGCCTGCTTACTTCTTCTCACCTCCTTCACGTCCCGGTGCCCCGCTATATTGCCAGCCACACGCTAACACAGGCCGTTCGGCGTCGGTCGTCACAAACAGTCAGGTGGTGTTTATGAGAATTGAATCCCACTGAGGAGCATGTAACACTCATCAGCCGACTGTCTGCTCTAAAAAAAAACTAGCGCTGCAGCTCTCGACATATGCCCGGTCGTCGAGGCAGCTCCGCTGCTGCAGCTAGAGGGAGGGCGTTGGCCTGCCTCAACGTCTGCACCTTGTGCCTAGGTGAAATGTGCCTTGGTGCAGATCTTGGTGGTAGCACAAGTAATAACGATCCAGGCTTGGTAATAAAATAAAATAATACTAGCACAAGTAATAACAAATAAAATAAAAAAATTAGGATCGAGCGAACATATAAAAGGGTAGCGGCCGAGGGGTCGCGCGTCCCTCTGGCCTGTGACGTCACGCACACCCAGGCCGTGCATGGTTGCACCTCGCCGTCACTATCCCTGCTCGCGCCACTCATATTGGACGAGGACCTAAACTTCTCCCTTATGCGCCTCATCTCCCGGATGAGGCCGCATTAGCGCGACTTGCAGAAAAGACGCCAAATACCCTTGTATGACAGCGCCGCTCGGCTTCGGTTTGGGCTCGCCGAGCGATTTCCGAGGCTCGGTATGCCCGGTGCCGCCGACACTTTTTGCACGGTATGCGGGGCCAATAGCGGGCTACGGAGTTCCATGGCACCACTGTGAGCTGGTGATAGGGAAGGAGGAGGTGAAAGGGAGGGAAATTGGTCGAAATAACGACGAAGTAGGGGCATATGAAATATTGCGTGTTATACGTATCCGGACAGTAGGGGCCTCTGGGATCGTTAGTTACGGCACAGTGCTGTCCTACCTAAATCATGGCATGTCTGAGATGAGGTCTCCAAGTGTGTGTGCTCTTCTCGCCTGAAAGCGCTCCACGTGGTACGGGCACATGGCACTGTGTTCCTGTGTCTTTTTTTTTTTTTTTTTTCCGGCGTCCAGACTGTCTTTTTTTTCTTTATCTTATTATAACTGGCGTCTACGCACGCGACTGAACTCTCGCTGACCCGATGATAAAGCAGAAACATATCTGTAAATTCATAAACAAATTAAACAATAAACAAAATGAAATCTACGGTTGTGCACTGTGGGGGGGTGCTCTTATCACCTCTACTACCGAGGTCACGCGATGTGCACTTTTACGTGCGGTCATCGCGCACCCCTCCACGATGATACATGTCTGTTTGAGCACTCTCTAAGAGCACACACTGGCAATTTGTGCCATGTATCTGACCTCAATTTACTATCACATTCAGTCCTAGCGTGAGATTGCCTATGGCGCAACAACCTTTAC